AATGATAGAAAGAAACGTAGAGAAATCAACGACGCGAGGATACAACGGAAGCTAACTAAAAAATTGGTTAACAGATGAATAAAAATGGCTACGACTAAAAGAGAGACATCGATGATTAACAGAGAATATTAGAAACAACGTTACAGAGGCTACGAGAGCGAGTATAAATACAAATGAAGAATTAAGAGAAGACGAGTCGGTCGTGTGATGGAGGAGTGAACGTACAACAAGTCGAAAACGTGTTTCCACGCTCGGCGCGTCTGGTAATAACTTTCTGCGATAAAACAGCATATTGTTCGAACTTAGATCTTTCAGAATTCCGTTGTACACAAGAACAGCTCGTTTGCTCAGAAACATTAACAAATCTCCATTCGAAAAAACGCAGAAGAGAGGAACGCAAACGTTTTCACCCAAAAATTCAACATTTGCAAATACTCCATTCATAAATTATAATTCTAAAACCTAAATATCCTTCCAATTCAAACATTTTCTTCTCACATTTCAGTCGTAAATCATTAACATTTCCATAGAAGTACATCACTGTTTACAACGGAATGCTAAAAAATCTCGATTGCACTAATACACCATTCCCAAGAAACGATTACACCCAAGGAAACCGTAGAGCGGAAATACTTTTTCGATCCGTTGCATGTAAAACGTGACAAAAGGGAGAAGATGGCGGATAGGTGAAGAAAGAGAGCCTGTAGCAGTGACATGCAGCCTTTTGTAGGGGTCTCACATCGGTGGCCATCGCAGTGTCGGTCTCGGATTGCGCACTGAGATAGGACATTGACGATTTCTTCCTAGTCAACGGCACGCTCCGCCGGCGAAGCCTCAGCGCGTCCTTTTCCCTCCCTCCGTACATGGCGACGTGCGTCGCGATCTCAATGTCTGTCTTAATCAGCGTGCTCATCAACTGCAACGACCAGACTTTTTAAAGTCATCTCGTCTCTCCTCCCTCTAACCGTTGCCTTTCCCGTTTCCTGGTAGTCTCCTCGTCGGGCCGATCGAGAACGGTGGCAGAGCAATCGAGAGAGAACACGGGGCTGCCAGGGGGCGGGGTGTGTGGTTTTGGAGGGGGTGGATGTAAAAATGCCAGAATTTATGCGCACACGGAGATACGAAACTTTGTAATGTGTAGGCAAACTTCGGCCATGATCTGGGTCTGGTGCGGGTGAATTCAATTTCAACTGAGCCTCGAACCTAATCAGCCGGGGGTCGAACATCGATCCGGGGTGTGTTCGGTAAAGGGATCTCGATTCGTGGTCGATTAAAAAAAAAAACAAATTCTCTTTGATTCAAGCAGTCCAGGTTCGGATTAGTCATCGTTCACTTCAATTCGTAGCAGACAAACCAGAAACTCGTAGAATGACATTTCACATAGTTCGACTTGTCGATTCTCCGACGATTCGGGGACACCCGGTACGTACCTCGGTTATGGTCATTCTTCGACCCTGTCGTTCCTGTTCCCTGCGGCGTCTCTCGTCTTCCTTCTCAGACTCTGTGTCTGGTATCATGTCGGTGACGTCGTCGTCGTCCAGATCGTCGAACATGTAGTAATCTCCGGATCGTATGGCTGATTGGAAAATAAAAGAGATCGTTCTAAAGAAGTCGTGGAGGAAGGATCGTTGTGCTGCGAAAGCCATGCAATGTTCGTTAAAAAGAGTAGCAGTGCTCGAAAACAACATCTGTCCCAATTGTTTAGCGGCTAAACGTTGAAGCTAGACGTTTAAATTGTTAAGTATCGTTAGTATACATACACAGACACACACAAACGCACACAGACGCTCGTCAAACAATTATATTTCACTATGTAGTAGACGCAAACTGAATCGGTCGTTCAAGGTCGTCCGTGGGATTCCCCCCACCGAGGTGTCACTAGAACATGGCTGATCATGCTGGCGCAGAAAGGGGATGCCGCCTTGAAAGCCCATTGAATGTGCGTCCACGCTAGCTAAACCGTATCAACAGCGTGAACGAAGAATTTATATATACATATACAAGTGTATGTAGTTCTGTAAAAGCAGAAAGGACTGTTAGTCAGGATGTGGACGTCAGTTTGGGATAAAGCCCGGAACAAAGCTGCGAAGAGAAGAAAGAAAATGTTCATTTACCCTCTCTGTTGGTCTTTGGCGCGCGAACTCTGTACAACGGCCGTGCCCCTGGATAGAGAGTATCTAACAGAAAAGAGAAAACAGAAAACTATAGACAGAGGAAACTGAAAGAAACGGTAAGAGAATCGTCGGGCGCGCACGTGTGAATCTATCTTACAACAATATACAGATTATATTACATCGAGATCAGTCAGCGGAATCCTCGAGTCCTCGCCAGGTTCAACGGGACAGGATCTGTCGGAACAGAACGCGGGCTATTCGGGCCCCGATACATTCTTTCACCCTGCAAAACAGCCGATTAACGGGACAAAGATGAGAGAGGAAGGACTGAATGCGGGATACCAACGAAATCAAAGAATGTACAGAACGGAAACCGAGTACTTCTCTAACGATACAGAGTTATGTACACCTATACTCTAGGCACGACATCGAACAAAGATAGAAACTGTACCAAAGCAGGCAACGGAAACGATACTCAAAGAAACACAGAAAAGAAGATCCAAAGGAATCAACTGTAGACTGACAACTCTTCGTACAAAACTCAACGGACCCTGAAGATCAAATCTTAATACAATATCTGTATTACCTATCAAACTCCGCTACTCCATCAAGAGAATCTTACATCAAAGAATCTCTCAATACTTGTACCAAGTATCAAAACCCAAAAGAAAAGTGAACCAAACAGAAAATAGATAAGGGTGCTTCATGATCTAGAGGTGCAGATCGCGGAAGCGTATGTACAGGACATCGTAGCAGATCGACGACGACTTTGATCTTGATCCCGTGGTTACATGTGTGATGAGACAGCGGGGAACGGGACGTGGTGGAGACGATCGACTGCCGTGGCGTCCGGAGCTCGTTCATCCAATGAGGACCGACGTAGCTCGACTGGCGACGATGCCTGACCGAGGAGTTCAACGATCGGTCCGGCGGCGGTCGATCGTATGGCGGCGGCGAGAACACCGGGAACGTCTCGTCCGGCGACGGTCCACGCGGGTTCAGCTCGCTACTCGGCGGGGAACCGAAAGAAATGCGTGTCGGCTCGAGGTAGCCTTCGAGGCTCACTGTCATGATCGCGGAGTTTGGGGTGGGCGCCTGCAACAGGGACGCGGCGCGCGGCGTCAGCGGGGGCGGCTCGTCGTCGTCCTCGTCGATCGGCGTCTGGTAACCCTGGGGAGGCGTGTGACTCGAGGAGACGCACGAACTGACGCTGGAAGACCTCGCCAGAGGCGCCTCACCTTCTTTTTCGAGTGCATTAAATATAGAGATATCTGGTGTTAGGTCGCGAGAGCTCTGCCGCCCTACGTCTGGAAGTAGGCTAGCCTCTTCTTTGCTAGGGGATCGACTTGGGCACGGTGGTTATCAGTTTACCATGTGATCTTACTTGTAGTCCTAACTTGTAAGTGGGCAAACGTTTGAGTAAGTTCGAATGGAAGTTTAAACGGATGTAACTTATTTTGGTTGGGGAGTTTCATGAGAACTTAGAGGACTTTGTTGATTGTAAACACTTCTGTTTAGCAGTGTCCTCAACGATGGTTTGTAATACGGTAGGAAGGAGGAATGATGTGACCGACTCACCGACTTTGTGCATTTGCGGCTCTCTGTAACTGGGTCCTTGGATCTTCCTCTGGCTAGCTTTGATCTTGTCCATCTTGAACTTCAGCTTTTGGAGGACGTTCTTCTCGACGCTTTCTTGGATGTCTATGCGTTTCTGGTGTAGTTCCTCTAACAGTTCTGCGCCGCGGGACGCTAGGACGCTCATAGCTTTCGTCTCGTCTACTATGTGGAAGAAATAGTAGCTCTTGAAGAGGCGCTTCTGGAGCAGCAGGAAACCGAAGCACAGGCCGTCCCAGACCATGCCTATGTCTTCCCGAGGAACCACGCAGTCCACTTTGCCGATGACGATGTCGCCCGCGGAGCTTTGGAACTTTCTCAGGCAAGTTATTCCGAATAACTGGATCAGTGGGCAAGCCGAAACTTCCAGCTGAAACGCGATTAAAAGCAATTTTAGTGAAGAATTCATCAGCGAATATAAGTAATGAAAGGTACATTGAGCAGTTTACCTGTTTGATCAGCACGCAACCAACTCCTTGCAGCAGAGCTTTAGAGAAGATGACAACCACATTGTACCCGATCAACATATTCCACCATCTTAAGATTGTCCTGACCGGTCTAAGGTAGAAATCACTGCCCTGCCAAAGGAAAACGAAGGCGCCAATCAAGTAGCCTAACGAGAAAAGGTTGGTCCTCTTGGTTCCAGCTAGGAACATGATCGACAGAGTGATCCACATCAGACTCATCAACACTCCTCTCTTCAGCACGTCCAGCCACGAATGAATGTGCGAGACGTAATCCTTAACGGGATTCACGAAATTAGGCTTCTCCATATCTTGGTAGACAGAGTAATTATGACCCGCAGGGAATTCTTTGCCGTTCGCAACGGTTCGCTGCTCGATACGGAAGTACAGGCTCTGTCTAACGATCATCATCAACAAAATAAAGTCGCCTGGAAAGAGCACAATTGATAAATTCGAATTGAATCGTCTTGAAACTATTGTTTATAAAAGACTTACACATCAATTTCCTAGGATTAGGAGGGAAATCTGGATCAGGGAAGTACATCCACTCCTGTAGCCTCCTGAGTATTTCCGAGTTGCTCCAAGGATAATCTGAGGATTGAGAAAAAGGAGCATTAATGAGTTACAATGAAATATTTACAGTATATTTTATTAATTTCAACCTACCTATGCAAAGCCAGGAGGGCAGTGCAACTACTAGGGAATATTGCACTGGTAGCATGATAACCCCAAAGACTTTGAAGAACGGCCATATTCTGGATATAGTCCTTCTCCTCAAGGAAAATAGAAGCAAAAGCCAGACACTGTAGAGAACCGAGTAAAAATCGAGTCTAGTGCCGATCAGCGCTACGATTCCGATCAGACATATCTCTAAACCGAATTTGTAGAATCCATAGTTGAAGAGGAACTTCAAGCACTCTGGTATTCCTTTATCAGCGTCTGCTCTGGTGATAGATGGGAACATCACTTGCGGAGTTTCCAATAGTTCTCCGATTCCCTTTCGATAGAAACACTGTCGTACTCTAATGATTTTCCGCAGTGTCGTCACCACTATGATTCCTATGTATCCTTTCAGCAGCTCTGCGAGCTCTCCTGGCTCTGCTTTCTTCATGCCAAACCATTCTGCTATATTGTACACAGTGTTGTTGCTTGAAAATTGAGGTTGTTTGTCGTCTACGTGTCTCTGGTAATTAGAACATCGAAATTGCTGTACAGAGCACTGATTCTTTTTAGAGATTCAAAGTAATAGGTAAACTGGCTGATTTTATAAAAAATCTTTTCTTTTCCTTTATAAACAAATTGTATACTCACCGTGCAATTCACGTTCCAATTATTGTGATCGATGTACTGAATCTGATACAGCATCTTAGCAACCATCAACAACGCGATTATCGCAGCGATTATATTCACAGTGAGTATTTGAGCGTGTCTCCTAGTATTTATCATGATTGCTACAATCACGACGAACACCAAATTGATGGCGCATACCTGGGAAATCGATATTGAAGACGAAATTAACGTTTGATCCGATTGCTCGAAAAATATGGCTGATTTCAACGTACGTCGTTCACGCATAGAAGCATCACAGAGATGAAGATGATCTTCTGCATGTGGATCTCCAGGAACAACCAGACGTAATTGTAAAAATTGACTAGATGCTTCATTATTTTGCGAAATAGTGCCATCCGTTCCAACTTGGACATTCCTTGACATTCAAATGAAAATTCAATTTCTTCTTCCTATTCGCCAATAAGTTATTTCAAAAAATGTAACAGAACTTACGTTTCAATTGACGAAGGCTGTATGGAGTGTCATGGTCATCTTCATCAGCAAGAAATATTTCCCCTGGAGAAGTCGGTGGCATGTCCAATGTTGGCGACTGATTGAGTGTGTCTTGTCTGAAGGAACTCTCTTCTGTCCTAGAACTGTTCGTCACAAATATTATTAACGCAATCGTTATCAAATGTATATAAATGAATCTTTACCTACCCAATCGCCTCTATGTTCGTCACTTCCAAAAAGTCCTTGTGGAAATAATGGATCTGAAGCACAGTGATGATGACGAAGAACGTTGGAGTCAATAGCCTTACGAAAAGATCCTTCGTCGCGTATTTTTCGAGGCCAATATCCATTTGCAAGTCCTCGTCGATGTGCAGATAGTTCCAGTATTCCGGGAAATTGTCGAATTGATAAGTGTACACGAGGATCAGCATAATTACCGAGTACCCAATGACTGTGAGCCAGAATGGGTACATCATTCTTCTCCAAGCGGTCCAGGAGATCTATAGATTAAACGTTTATTAGCATAGCAGCTTCAGATCATCGAGAAAACGAATTAAATTTCTTATAATTAAAGGCCAACCGTTTCAATCGTCTCTTTATTCAATGGAAAGGAGACTTGTAATAATATAACTGTAAACAAATGTTTTTACGTACTTGGAAGGTAATAATGAGCACAAGGAACAAGGACATATAAACAATCCTGAAGACAGTCATGCGTTCCCCAGTTATTCCGCAAATAAAGAGCATAATAGCCACCACAGCGATCCAGAACTTGGTCAGTAACTTCTTCAGAAGTATGCCGACGTCTTTCATAAATTTGCTCTTGATTTCTGGCACGTCGTGATTCATGGCTGTGGTGGCAGTCGACACGGAGACGTGCAACGGTGCTACCATGTCTCTTAACGTCGAGGAACGTCTCTGACGAGTCCTTTCAGCGGTGTACTGTCGCATTGTTATCCAGAACATTGTTATAAAGAGACACTGGAAGCATTAGAAATGTTGAAAACGATACAAAAGAACATTTGAAAGAATAAAAATTGAAGGAATCATACTCTGACTACTAAGTGCCAGCGACTTAGCTCTTCAGGCTTGCTGAAACCGATCTCAGACACCTTAAATCCATTGACCAGCGTTGGTAATTCTTCTTCGGTCAGATCCATGCCGTAAATGTACTGGCAAAGTAATAAAAGAGTTGCATAAAAGACGATAAATGGGGAGCATTTCATCATTGACGCGCGTTTGTTAGGGACCATCCAGAGGATCAGAGCCCAGAGCAAGAGAGCAAAGGTTGTCCAGCTGTGGTACATTATGCTCCAAGTCTGATAAATGAAATAATTATGATGTATAAATAGAATGCTCGACTAAATGAAGAAGGAATTTTGTAGCAGCCCCTTGGTACCATCATTATGATGTTTGTAGCGAGATAAGACGAATTGATAATCAATTGGAAGATGGAGTACACTGCCATGATGATGTTCTCGATGATTCCGAACTGCTCATCTGGGGCACCTGAATAGGAAGTTGATAATTAACGAACAATACATTTTATTTTTCGAATGTTGAGGTCTTTAGTGTATTTTACCATCGCTGAAACTGTGCATCTGAATGCTATCATCTTGATGACCATCCTGAACGATGACGCTTCCGGTAGAGTCCTGAAGGAGGCCCGTTCGCGCTGACCCAAATCTCATCAGCTATTTGTAAGATACAGGATATTATTGTACATGTATTTCGAAAGGAACTTCGTTGAATCTCAATTTCGACAGTCTACGTTTGTAACTCACTGAACGAGTGTATGGTGAATTAAAATCTCGGACATACACATGCAAGCTACATGAAAAGTACCGATGTTTACCTTCACCGCTAGCTACAAAAATTGTCGATAGAATAAAGGAAAAAAAAATAGTAGATCCGTAAATAATTGTAACGATCACTAAGAACGTGCTAGATCAGAGTGTCGAGTTTAAATAGAAGTGATCGTTGTGTCTAGGTGTTAGCAAATGGTGATCGCTGTGATAATCAAACATGCAAACTTAATCATTATACGTACGGGTGTGCGCTCGTCGGCTGGTGGGAACGACGAATTAACGATCGGCTTCTAAAACAATGGCAAACTAAACATAGCGGCATCCAAACGGAAAAGGAATTTGCTCAGCATTAAAGAACAACCAGAAATCTGGAAGGCGACAGCAAATCAAAAATCGGGTGTTATCTGATTCGGGGCGTTTGATATGTACAGTGGCGTGCAGTCGCACTCCCTTTACAGATTAACTTAACACTCTGTTCATTCTCAAACGAAACACTGGTGTATTTACACTAGAACCTTTCTATCTACAAACAGATCATCGCTAAAAGAGAATACTAGACGTGACTGTGATGATAATAAAACTTGAAACCTTAAAAACTGACTGATAAAGGTAGAATCAAATTTGTAGCATACGAGGCCTAATTTTGGAGAAAATTCAAGTGGGATATTAGTAAATATCGTGTCAATATTTAGAGATACAACTTGAAGATTTGTAAGTAGAAAGAGACTGCCACAGACAGACACTTTAAGCAATCGGTATTAGCTACTTTACTCAATGAATCTCCGAAATCGATTTTCTGGAAAATCAATTCTCACGACAGAAAGATTCCGCCTACATTTTATATTCAGTTTCATATGAAAAAATCATTTTATTCTGAGTTGTATCGTCATTACAGCCACGGAGAGGGTGACTTAACTATTAAATGAATCTATGGTATATTACAATACAACTGTCGCAGTCTATTAATGTCTACCGTTACAGAAATAATTTTCTACGTAAAGTGAAAAATCTAAACAAGGATCTAGGAGGAAAAATCGGTGCATTTGGCTCATGCAGGACGAGATCCTTACGCGAGCCTTTCGTCGCGCCGATTGCCATCTCTGAGACGGTGTCCTTCGTCTGATGGAAACGTGTCTGGACAACGGAGTGTCCAGATTCTCCAGCTTGCCGCTCAAACGTTTCATTTTCTTCGCCTGTAACGCCTTGTTAGTAAAAGCAACGTTCGTTGGTAGTGAGCACGTGTGTTATTCGTTGTACTTAGAAAGTTAGAGAGACCGAGGAAGCTCAGACAGTGTCACCGAGGTTACACTGGTGTTAATGGTTCTCCTCAACCGCAGACAGGTTAATCGAATCAGTAACAGGCGACGTTAGAGTTATTCATGTTTGAGGAAAGCTTTGAGAGGGCTGGATTAATTACTTGCATCGCGTATTGCTCACAGAAAATTTCCATCTTTACACTCTTCCTAATAATGTTGAACTTGATTCAAAACACCGACCGAGATGATCGAAGAAACTCTAAAAATTTGTAAAGGAACGATCTCAAATGTTTCAAAGTGTTCCCAAACTCTCTGCGAGTAGTACACTTTCACGCGGCAGAAACATTGAATCCTTCTTTCCATCTTACGCTAAGGTTCCTTAAGTATCCTTGGCTCTGACCGATTAATTAGTAATTCAATCTCTTCGACCTTAATTAGTGTAACACACAGTGGAAAAAAGATGTCGACCAACACACTCACCGGCTTCCTGCTCAGAAACTGTGACTGCAACGCCAAAACGTAGTACAGCCAAAATAGTCTCAAGATGTAGCCGTAAATCAGCCAATCGGCGTCATCCGTGTACTCCACGTTCCTCGGATCGCTGCAATTGGTTTGATAAATCGCGGATAGGGCCAGATACCGCTGCCAAGTACTGTTCACGGGGATTAACTCCTGAGGGGTTTGATTCTGGTAGCTGAGCAGGGTGAGGATGTGAAGGGTCACGACGACCATCACGATCCTGCAGAGCACGGCGAAGCCTTTCCTGAGCTCCTTGTTGCAGGCCCACCAGGTCGCTGCCCCCAGGAACACCAGGAAATAAAATCCAGCTTCTATGGATGGGTTCAGCGACGACATGATGCATAACGAGGCTAGAACCACGTAGGTTCCGATGCGTCCGAGGAAGTTAATTATCTGTGCACCAGAAAGTAATGTTTTTTTATGGAGGCTAGTTGTGATGAATCTCTGGAAACAAAGATTAACCCCTACAAAAACGAGTGAGACTCGTGGTGAAGATTTTCAACATGATTCAACAAATATATACATCAGTTCATTCGAATTCAAAGTAAATATTCTTCTGTAATCAACTATTATACATAAAAGGAAATATAGATAAAATATCCTTAGAATTTTTCTCTTCTTCCAATAAATTAATGACAAAGTAGCCGTATCGATCAGAGTTCAGAAAGAAGTCATAGGCCAAGGGGTTAAAGAACTGACAGTTAGTAGGTAGTTAAATAATATTGAGACGAAGATTGATTTTACAAATCAAACATCTGGAAGCAAAAATTGAGCTAGAGGTTGTTAGAAAATGTCAGCAGCATTAACTTTCAACGAGAACTAGGAAGATTATCAGATTATTTATTAATTGCAAGCGAGTTGAATTAAGTGCACGACGATTTACCTTCGCGGTACTGTCCTCAGCCTTTTTCGACGTGTCGCCCCTTCTGTGCAGAGACACGTCGTCCTCCGCATCGTTCGGAGGTTTCTTCGATAGGAAACGGCATATGAAGTACACTGCAACTGCGGTGGGTAAAACAACCAGCTCCGGTGTCAACCAGAAGAATACTTCCCAAAGGGATGCGCTATCTAGTCGTACGAAACCTAAGTGTCTGAAGATCACTTCCATCAACTCGCCTAAAAACGTTCGGAAATTTAATGGACTCTATCCGGACGCAGAGCAAGCGCGTCACTTACAATTTTGAAGGAAGTGGCCGTAAGCGGGAAGCGATAACAGGACTATGTGAAACGTGAACTGGCTGACTGCAGTTAGAAACGATAGGCCGATGCAGGTCTTCAGGTAAACGCCGGTGTGGCCTGCCATTGTCTTTTGATCTGGTATCGGTACGAAGGGCGAGTACAGCATCAGCCCTAAGTACACTAGAGACAGTCCTACTGGCCGCCATATTATACCTATTTTAATTAAATAACACACAGTATATATAATCATTTATATATTAAACTAAAGCAAAAGATTTATTCAATCTAAACAAAATAATCTTCACATAATAAATTAGTAACAAAGATATGTCTGATTTGAGATGATAAAGTAAATGATAAAGTAATGAGACGTATGCTTAATTCTGTTCCAACGGTAATTACGATTCGATTATAACTTTTCGAAGCAAGCTCGGTTTACGACCTTTACGAAACGATATTCGTCATACCACGTAAATGCATTCATTCCACTGATACAATCAGAAGAAAGTGTTTCCAGCTCGTTAAAAGGTCAGCGGCTAGGGAAGCCAGAAGATAAGACTCATAAGATTTGACATTTCAGCCACCCCAATTGTGCAAGGAGTTACAACGATTCCCGCTCACAAATATCGTCCCATTTAGATTTATTATCAACTCTCTAAGCACGGTGAAACCCCGCCAGGAACAAGCTGATACGCGTGAATCATAGATAGAAAGAATACACATGCTCGCATAATTAAATGGAAACTGTCCTGGCCTCGGAACGTTAATTGCTTTCGTTCCGCCGGGAGGCGTTAAGTTAATTAATACCTTAACGAGCCTGTGCACGGAGCGCGAGCGCGTTTGTCCGTTTTTATCGTCTTTTGATTTCGATAAGCCCTACGGAAACAAAACTATTCCATTGAAATCGCACCCGGAACGCGTACCACCACTCCCCTCCCATTTCCGCCGACAATACCACTTTCTACTCGGAGAGTACATTCTGCTTACCATCCTCTCGCATGCACAAACGAAAAGTTTGACCGACTGCCAAGGGAACTCGGGCAACGGTTTCCCGACCTCCGAAGACGAGGGAAATTATTTCACTGTTTCCTTGTTGCGTCACATTTGTTGCGCTCGATATGCACAGCGACCGCGAACCGGTGCATTCGGTTAATTGAACTTCGATTAAGAGTCATCCGACTCTAATTGAATTATTTCGAATCTGGTGCATACAGGATATTCGGGATTATTTACGGTGCAGTGGGTTAAAGAATTAGTATTGTTCGATAGGTATCTAGTAATTCAATTAAATTAATCAGTGCTAAGAAATAATCATATAAGAAATTTCTGAAATTCTGCATCGCTCTTATGCCACGAGGTTCTCAAAACATCGAACTACAGACGAGACGGAATCGCAATTTTTCGAACATTCGAACGATTGTGACATCTTAATAGGGCACGGTGTTGGTAAGCTATTTTCCCCGCAGGTTTTTAACACGACGCCGTTAATGGTAGAAACCGCGGACAGTTAATTACTCGGTTCGGCTTGTACGAGACGATAACACGGGCGATAACGATGCTGTGTTCAGCGTTCGAGTCGTAATTCCTTTTTTTACGCCGGGTGATTCGGGTCACGAGATCAAAGGGAAGCCTCGAAATTACCGCGAACGATAAAAGAGTTCACTCGCATGAATTAGAATGTCAGTTTCCCTTTGGAAACCTCCCTGTCGACCGTTCGAAAGGTGAGCAAGTCGACTGCAGACGTTGCGAAGAATATACGGGGCGGATTGATAATAAACCTGGAATTGAGGAGCCTGTGCTCGACTAATTATAGACGACGCCTGTAAACCGAGACTGAACGCGTCCCGGCGCTGTCAACGTGGTATCCCGAAGCACTTTCTCAAATTTATACGTGTACGCATGTTGCGCGAACTTCCGACCGCGTTCGAAAACCTCGTTTTTCATTCGGTTCACCCGAGAACCGCTGATTACGTCACTCGTTTGTCTCACGTTAGCCGATCCGAAAGTAAATTGCCTCATTGTATCTGTTTCACAGTTTGCGAACATGATATACACAGTTATGCTTTTTACTTATTGGGAACATATATCATTCGCTTCTTATTGATTACTTTGTAATACTAATGTCTTGAAATGACGTACGAATGAACGACGATGCAAATGATCGTTGAAAAGTACGTTAAGTTAGAAAAACATGAAGACAAAGTACTTTACTACTGTGGATACTATTATTGCTATAATTATATTCAATTCGACATTTTAGTTGTTTGAAGTTCTTAACATTTGCTTCGTTAAAGTGAACCGAATAGGATCAATGGCAACGTCGAGTTAACGTTGCTGTATTGAGACGAACAATCGAAATCCTTTGAAAAGACGTAGAAACGGTGTTTGCGACACCGTATGACGCATCGTGGAGCAGTTTACCACATACGGGCCGATGATAAAGCCTGGATAATTAACGACGGTATTAAACTTCGAACAGCAGTGGGTCGGCCAACCTGTGGACTATTACTTTCGATGTATCTCTCGATAATATTATCTCAATCTCTCCTACTATCGGTTTTCGAATCGAAATATTTTACAAATGTTTCCTAAGGAAAATCTACCGCTATCACCTTTTTCCATGTTTCTTCATCCGAATTCACGTTTTAAAAAAAGAATGTTCACGTGAGAAACTCAGCCTCGAGTTTCTCCGTTTGTGAACTCGGTACTTCTCTATTTCTGGTTTCTACCTTGAAATCCGCACGTTCCTTCTAGTTTCACACGAGTCGCTTGGATATCAGTTGCTCAGATCAACAGTCGGCCATCGAGGTCATTAGTCGGTCCCAAATACAGAGTATTTTCATACACTGATGTCATCGAGGCATCCAGCATAACATTATCATCGTTCACGTGTACACGATGTCAATACCATTTTACGTAGTTTTATTATAATTCCCCCGCACACTGTCATAACTATATTAGCAGCTTATCGACGACTGCTTTATCACTTGATAACGCGGCGCAAGGTTTCCTGACATATGTTTATTGAAAATACCGTGCTGCTACAGCTTTCACGTCGTTAACGAGACAAATGCGAGATGTAAATTAACAAACCGTCAGCTATATTTCTAAGATATAAAAACAAAAATTCCTTATCATCTTTTTTATTACCTAACATTCGAGTCGCTCAGAATTATTGCGGTTAAGTCCAGAAAACAAAGAGAAAAATAATATTTTGATTTCTGGAATTATCGTACGACATATTCAGAAACCATAACAAGCAGGGCTTTCTCACTTAGAAACAACGTAGGAACCAGTGAACTCTTTAATAACTAAGCAGAATATTACTCATTCCATGAAAATCGGCAAAAATCAGAAAACACCAAGAAATCGACTGAGCGACTCGTTTAATAGTGCAATGATTCTAAGGTTACATCAAAAACAAAAGACTTTTTGGCGAGTGTAACACTGTCAGGGCTGTCTCCCATGGAAACCGAACCACGGAAATATCTCGTTTCAATACGCGACACCGTTATCGTTACCGAGCAAGGTAGACTCGACTAGAAGCGGCAAGTAATTGATACGCGTGACATATTTTTACGCGAAGGGACACTTACATCCTGTCAGGACAGCCGGTAGAACGACCCTGAGTAGGGCCACGTTCAGCCAATACCTCGTCATGGCTGGATGTGCTCGGATGGCCTTTCACCCTGTAACAGACAGAAAAATCGGCGCTCGTAAAACGATCCAGGGATCCAACCTGTCAACATCTCGAGATTTTGCAGCGGTCATGTCAGCTCCGCTGAAATCGATACGACCCTGCCGCAGTCGGATACCTTTAACCTCGTTTTCCTCAGAGACGCAGCGTCGGCACCCTCAAATTCACCCTTCGCTTTTACTACGTTCACCCTACGGTTTACGATCTGCGCTGTCTTTCTGCCAAAAATTACAGCCTCGTGTCATTCTGTATCCTTCTGGCACGCGATGGTCTTAAGATTAGACGTTACTGGTATCTTCGAGATTGACTATAGATTTAATTGGTAACAACTCATCAATCCTTTGTCCAATGTTCAGACGTAGAGGATTTTTTTCTTTTTAAGTATAATAGACTGCAGATACTTCTTCTTAATAAGAAACAGTTAGTTAATGAATGATGTGTGTAGATAATAAATTGATGATAATATAAGTGATTTTTAAATCACTTCTCCAGTACTGTCTCCTTTAATCGTGGGATAAAACGGGTTCAGGCTCAGCGTTTTCGATGTTCCATCTGACAAGGGTTAAGGATGAGCACTGCATAATTTCGTGGCAGAGAAGAAGAAAGTGAATCCGATGTCGCCTGACGCAGCGATTTCCCGGGGCAAGGGCTTTTGGCGAGCCTCGATAAAACGCGGCGCGCCCAGCTTAATTATCGGCCAATTACATGGGGGAAGGACAGTGCTCCGCGGAAGGTGTGTCTATCCTGTTTCCAGAAACGTGGTTCATCGTCGAACATCATAGTTTGGGGTGGAATGTAATAATACAGGACGGGGAAAGAAATTTCAGATCGATCGTACGAATAATTCTAGTGAATGAACCTTATAAAAATTCTCTGGTTAATTGAAATTATTTTATTTTCAGTGTATAAACAGTTTCTTAATCTATAATGGAAACTGAGAGTTGCTGACCATTTTATTTTTGCAGCTTCACACGATCACTTATTCTTCTCGTTCACAGAATATCGATGTCCCTATGTTATTTTAGTACTACATTATCACTCTGTTATGTAATGATACTCTCACATAATTACATCTTCGTAATTGCCACTATTTGCTGTACAGGAAGAGCATCATTTTCTCCACGATATTTTTCTACCGACGGTTAGACTCGCGAGATTTTATCGTTTATCCTTCCCATTCTTCTATTATTCGACCTAGATCGCAGATACAACTGAAGTATTTAATGACACCATAAAAAGATATTGCTACCATCACCATTCCGTACACAGCGGAGTGGTAAATGTGTATTTCATTTACAATTTTCTATCCGAATGTATCATTATTCGTCCGTTTTGCGCTATCAACGATAGAAACAAGTGTACACAGAATTTTCCTCTATCTATAATTCATATGTCTGCAACTATGATAATAATTCATGAGCCATTCCCGTTAAAATATGCGGTCGAAAGTAATTGTACAAGAACAATTAACACATTGACTGCCACGGCGGTCACCGATGATCGGAACTTTCAAATCGCCGAAGTACAATTGCAATAAAAAACTTTGATATTGAAAATAATTATTAATGATTTACTATTACAGTAGTCATATTACGCTATGATCTAGCTACTTGTGTTGCTAAATATTTTTATTTAAAATCATTTGCCTTTGTTATTAAAGAATTGCTATTCAAAACGCTAAAAATTCTCGTGGCAGTCGTGTTAAACTTAAATGACTTAAAACACTGCATATATTTTCCAGCCTTTCCAATTTTTGGCAACTTCCAAGGAAGGTGGAGCGTCGTCCCCTTTTCGCGAAAGACTGACAACGGTGTACACGATCGATGGAACAACCATACGGATACGTAGGAATCTCATCTTACACGGTGAGTCACCGAAGTATTCTTATCTCAGTTATTGACTTTAGTCAATTAATAATTTAGATAACAATGTCCAGTGACACGGATTCAGCAATGAGCAATACGTACATTTTCAGAAATGTTGGAAAATACGAAGTATGTTAAGTGCTTTTTCTAAGTGGTCCGATATTCAAATGCTAGCCTGTCTGAAAGGTTGCGCAACTCGCATGACACATTACAGTAGAATTAATATTAATTTAGCTGGATAAGGAAGCAAGTAAACATTATTTCGTATGCACGCCGTGGGACTCAAGAAAGTGGCAAATACACGTGAACTGCAGCGAAGTTCCTCTGCAGCAAGTGCATTCGCGTTGCCCTGCACTTCGAGCTGCATTCTAATTAACTACGTGTTTTCCTGCTTTTACCAAACCGGTTCCTGTGCAAATGAAATGACGTAAGCGTTCGTCACAGATCATTGTTACCACTGACACACGATCGACAGCGATTCATTGATCAATCACGAGGAATTTTATCTAATAAAAGACTAAATCCCTGTTGTCTGATTAACACAATTATCTGTATTAGTTCTTAATACCCAGATTTTCGAAGAGAAAATAAAGGAATTCTTTGGTCCCAGTAATTTTACCTGTAACAATTTAAATTAATATAAAGATCACTGGAATTCCTGTACAACGAAAACCATGTTGCAAAGATGAATCATTATCTTATCGAGCGCAGGTGTGTAAACAGTATAGTCTGATACTGCGACTCGAGCAAAGTGTCTCTGTTTTGAATGTGCCTCGTTATTCGCGTGATGTACAATTCGGTAATTTACATTCTAGACCTTACATTGATTAACAATTAAATGTGGTTCGCGTGGAAAATACACAGCGGCCGCAGTGGTTGATTAGTAACCGTCAGGCTGCTGCGAATTGATGTCGATGACAGAGGCATTGCGGAATCCCGATAATTTTAGCTCCAGTCGATCCAAGGGTACAATCGACTCCGTATTGAAAACGTCGTTACGCGTGACACGATGAATCGTTACTGAATGAACGTCCGACGCTACCTGCGGTGTGATTGATTTTCTAATGCCTGATAGACGTTCATTGTATCCTGCCTGCCACCCACGGGATTGTAATTGAGCGTTCATCGGTTGTCTACAACTGTATCGTTCCTATCGAATGGAAACGTTTCCACGGATCGTTAAATTACTGCGAGTTGTAACAGATTCTGTAAGTGCAACGACATTCGTACAAAAGGGCAAAGATATTTTTAACTGTATAAAAGACAGTAGTAATCAAATCACTAAAATAAAGACACTGGAAAGAATATAATAGATTAATCTCCATTTAATTATTTCTATCACTTTTAACTGAAAGGAAGAAAATTCAAATATTACGCGTCTACGTGCAAATTAATTAATAGAAATAACCACGGAAGGTTACAAGCATAAAATAGTTATGACCAGGCAATGGGCTATTGCTTTTCCAAGCATTATCTAATTAGTGTAAAATACACGTAGTGAGTTGCTCTGAATATTCCTATTGTTTTTCTCCTGGCAGCAGGGTGTAAAAAAGACGCATGTGTTATGACACGAGGACAGTCTTCCTAGAATAATTACACCTATCCCGGGAGCAAAACCACGGCTCTGATTCCCTTCCGCCGCGTCCCATTAAATTTCTCGGAGACTCGTTTACAAAGAAATGTGTACACATTGCGTGTACCGTTGCGTGGGTGCGTGCCGCACGCGACGGCGCGGGGGTTGATTAAGGGAGTGCGCGGAGCTCGTTACGCTTTTAGGGTGGCCGCCCGTTGGATTTCTTCGTAGCTACTCGATGGGCGATGATGTCCAATTAACGGAATACCTTGTCAAACAAACCTGTTATGTCAATTTCATTTGATCCTCGGAACACGCAGGCTTAAAGTCGCGTCGCGTGCAGGGAGGACATACGTTTTTGCAGCGCTCGCAGGGAAATGTCAGAGCTACAATGTTGCGAAGATATTTCGAACGAATTTGCTAGTTATAAATCATCACAGCGATATATTGCTTTGAACATTGCACATGTAGTGTAGATAAATAGTGTAATAACAATGCACGCGTGACAACACATCCTTGGACACGTCATCGTCACATGAATGGTACGATTGTAATCATCAACGGGCACCAACAGCGTATGGACACTTGACACCGACGTAGTTGGCGAATCATCGCCTCAGAATACGGTCGTTGAGAAAAAGTATCCTAAGTTTCATTGAAACGTTAAAGAAAACAGAAATTGTAACAGAAAGATCATAGGAACCACAGACGAAAATTATGGAAACTAGAGAGAAAATGATAGAAATTTTAAGTAAAATTATAGACATGTTAGAAAAACAATTATAAGGATTATAGAAATTGTACAAAAAATATTCAGAGGAATGATAGAAACTAATACGACCGGGCGTCTCCGATGCACTGCGAGCGCCATTGTGTCGGCGCCGACACGTGCGTCGAGTCATTGGCGCCGAGCCGCATTCCCTGTCAATTTCGAATCGATGACAGGTTCCCGCGCCGACGTTTCTCGGTCGGCGGTAAACAAATCGATGCGCCCGCGGTCCCGTGTGCCAGCGTTTCTGCAGGATCTCCGGTAACCCGCTACGAGATCGTAAAGCCGCGAAATGTCAGGGGCTTTACGAGCGGCTCGCGTTCCACGCCGCTGGAGCCGGGCTCCGTTTCTGGCGTTCCGGGTCACGCGGAATCACCGCGGTACGAATATTTTCGAATTCTAGGCCGCACGAACGAGGTACGCCTCCCACTTTCCTTCGCGAACCGTGATTCGATTTCATTCGAGCGAAAGAAACTTCCGCGCAACGAATATTGTTCTTCCCTGAAAAGAGTTCTGTTCTCTTCTGGTTCCTGATAACTCCCCGCCTATTGTCATCGGGAAATGAATGGCGCTGTACTTGTGACAGCATGATAAAAAACAGGACTGTGGGTGTTTATGCAGTGCCGTTCTATTGAGGATTCCCCTACGAAGATAAACCGCTCGGCGACTGTTGTATACATCCCACATTTGCAAAACTCCAATTGACACAGATGTATAGAATTCTTAGCTTAATAATAGAATTACCATTAACCTTCTATCTCCAAATCTCATTAAAAGATCTCTTCGTACCTCAATCAATCCTACAACCAAACGAATTCCAAGATCACTACTCTACATTTCCACAGTCATTACAGAAAGAAGGCCCTACAAGGAAATTCTGTTAAACTCCAAAGGAATCGTCTCGCGTCTCGCCGCATCAACAAAGTCCCCACCTTTCCGACCCGAATCAGGTGTCGCTACGTCCACTAACACCACGAGCCAAGGCACAAAGTGCACCGCATCGGTGTGCAGCCCCTTTCACGTTCATTCGTGTGCGTGCGTTGATCGCGGCCAGAAGGTACGAGCGGTCAGCTGACGGGGATCGTCTGCCGGGAACCGGTCCCGTGCGTACGCGCGTGTAAAAAGGGGCTCACCTTGAACGAACCGACAGTGGCTTTTCAAAGCATCCCTCCGAGCCGAGTCTCTGCCAGCTGTCTGTCGCCGGATCGAACCCCGAGGAGAGCAACATGCGCCACCCGGCTTCGACGCGCGCGAAATCCTCCAGAGATCGTGCACCGTCACCCCTTATCTTCCGGTTAAATCCACGATAACCGACTCCGATCGGCGAAGAAACGCGGTTTACCGTTCACGGACGAGGCGCGCCGGGTTC